CAGTGGTCGGCAACCTTTTTTAATTCTCGGGCCACATTTACAAATTAAAAAGAGTTCGCGGGCCAGATAAAAAAAAAAAATTTATAATTACATTATTTATTATGCAAAAAAATACTATCTAAAACTTAAAATAATAATATGACTTATATAAAATACCCGTACCAAAAACGCAACGTTCAATTATATTTATACAAAATGATATTCAATTAAATTAGTCGATTTAGAATTTAAAGCGGGCCGTATTCAATAGCCACGCGGGCCGTATCCGGCCCGCGGGCCGCCGGTTGCCGACCACTGTTCTAAAGCAAAATGAAAAATGAACTAATATGTAGTAATTATAAATTATNAAAATGTTATGCGGTGTGTTTGCCGTCCTGGTTTTGCAAGAATTTTTATGGATAAGCCTTGTAAACGTAAGTATTCTAAAGCAAAATGAAAAATGAACTAATATGTAGTAATTATAAATTATTTTTTTTAGCGACTTATTCATACACAATGAAGTTAGTGTTGGAAAAGTTTAAAAAAGAAAAACTTAAATACTCTAGTGTCTTAGATAATCCTAGCTCATCTCTGTATCAACAATTGATTGAAGCAACAAGAGAAGGGCTTAATCGAATGTCAATGCAGTCGGATCTAAGAGATATATACCATGGTGTTGTTGTAGGAGGATTTGAACCTGCAGTCAATGGAGAAAAAGTAGCTGTTTCTTATATTATACAGGTATACTTAAATTATATTTTACAATTATTTATTTGGTTAACTTAAAATTATGTTATGTTAAGTTATCTGAAAATGCGGATGATACTAAAATATGGGATGCAACTAAAAAATCTTTGAGAACTACGAACTACAGTTTAGGTGGTACTGATGTATTTGCTGCTCGTGATCAATTACAACTTTTATCTGCTGAAGGTAATAATAATATAGACTACTGATATATTGTTTCTTTTTAAAATAAATTAATTAAAATTTTTATTTTTTAAATTATATTTCAGATTTTGATGAATGCAGTGACTCAAAATTCCATGATTGTTCAGATAATGCTAAATGTTTTAATTTACATGGGACATATACATGCAGTTGTAAAGATGGGTTTTCTGATCTTTCACAAAATAATCAATTCCCAGGAAGAGTTTGTTCTTGTAAATATACACAATAAAATTATTTTATGAATCAACTTTGAAGAAAGTAATAATATTTAATTATTTATAGCTGAACTTATTGGGTGTGACTTATGTAACTATCATGGTACATGTTATTTAAGCGATCAAGATCAAACAAATTGTGACTGCTTTCATTGGTATGCTGGAAAACACTGTCAATTTAATTTAAGAGGTTAACTATATGTGACTTTATCAAACTTAAAATGTTAGTAAATTAGTTTAAATAATTTACATAAACTTATTTTCAGTGCTTCTATTGGGTCTTCTTGCTATTGGAGTGATGTTGCTATCATTATTAGTTGCATGTTTATTAATGACATGTTGCAAGAAAAATTCAAGAGAATCAGTTATGGGACTTTATCAGCCTCAAAGACCTGTTATTGGTTTTAGGAGATATCGTAACATGGTAGCAGCCTCAAGAGGTGATAAAAGAGCAATGATTAGTGTTGATACAGGAAGTGAGACAAGTGTCGATCGAACACCTCCTCCTTATGTCAAACAAGTAATTGGTTCTTGGTTATTTTTTTTCAACTTCAATTTTTTTTGTTTATTTTGATTTATGTTTTCACTTAAACATTTTAGCTTTAAATTTATTAAATCATTGAATAGTACTAGTTTTGCTTAATTTTTTTATTACTTGATAAAAGAATATGTAATTATTTCAGGTGGCATGTCCTCAAAGGCAGGTTAACACTCACGTACATAGACATAGTATGAAGGCACCATCTCCATCTAGTAATGGTAGTAGTATGGAACGTAGTGTAATTAATCAACGTGATAGAAGTTTGACAGTGATGATACCTAGAGCTAAGTATCGAGCACCACCACAACAATCACCATCAGTGTTAACCATGTCAACATTTGGACCTGAACAAAAAACAATGTCTTACCTAGATTGTAAACAAACTACTAAAGTAACTAAAATTAAATTTAAAATTTTGAAAAGAGAGTTCAATAAATTTTGTTATAGGGCTCAATTTGTAGTAGTAGAAAACCCAGCATAATAACACAACGATCAGTTGACTTACCACAACCACGTAAAAAATACTCAGCACCAAGAAAACCATCAACAGGTAAATAAATTATTTTTTCAGTTTATTAAAAAATAATATAAAATCATATTTATATTTTTAGGTGCACTTGTATCAGCTGGATTTGAAGTTTCAGCAACAGTAGTCAAAACAAAAGAATTAGATGAAGCATATGTTTGTAGAGAAGAAGATAAATCAGAGTTCAATCCTAAAAGAATGACAGCTACTAGGTATTTAATAGCCTTAAATTGATAGGCATAATAACTTAATATGTTTTTGTTTTTAGAACGATATCTGTAGCTAGATCGTTTGATGAGACTACTATACAGAACCCTACAAAATGCTACCACCCAGATAGTCACTATGAATCGAAGTCCCAATACTCCTTAAAAACGGCTGATGTAATTTTTTAGAATATTAGATCAAACTTAAAATTAAATATATATATAGATAAGATATTCTATAAAAGCAATTTTTTTTATAGGAGGGGCATACAATGGTAGAAAGAGATTTAGGATCTACATACATAATGCCTCAATCAAAACTTTATAAGCCTGATCATAGAGTATGTGTTAGAAGTTATAAAATTTAATTTTTTTTAAGATAAATTAGGTGTTAATAATTTTCACAATATTTTCAATTTTAGGGTAGTGATACATCAAATTTTGATTCTTTGTAATGGAATAAATAACAAGTTTACCCAATTATGCCATATTATTATCAATTAAGTAAGTATTTATTAATTAGTTGTTAACACTCATAATATAATATGATTATAAGCATATTATGTCCATATTAATAATTATAAATTTGTTTCAGTTAATCATGTTCATAGTTAACTTATGTTGTACAGCTTCCAAAACTCTGTACTATTAATAATTTATTGTTGTATTTTAATATTATTCTTTGTCCTTAAACCATATTATTTTATGTATTTTATGTTATTATGAACTTAGTTTTAATTTTATTCAATGCCATATTTAGGTAATATTGTTGTTAGTTTAAATTTGTATATTATTCATTATTTTATATGCGATATATTTGTTATGACTATTGACTTTGTGTGAGATGTTCTCTTTTCTTATGATAACCTTTAAATGAATCATAACGAAACGACAGCAACTCTTTTTATGTAAAATATTATTATTGTAATATCTATTTATCTTCTTTTTTTTTTTATTAAAATAGTAACTAATGTTTTTATCAAGTTAAATTTAAATATTGAGGATACCAAACCTTATTTGTGCCAAAAAATATTGTCTTCTATTAAATTGTATTTCAATAAATTTTTTAAATAAAAATTTAGTCATCTGCCATTAAAAATGTATAAATAATTTACCTTTCAGAATAGTTTTTAGATTTACTTTGTTGGATTAAAAATTTTAATAAAAAAAATTGGAATAAAGACAACTAAAAACTTTTTTGATTTTTATTTTTGAAGGAGGAATCATTTTTTTAAATATTTCTTCCTTGTTAATTTTAAAATTAGGTACTTATTATTATTATTCTTTTTACAGATAATAATTGGCTAAAAAAGTGATAACAGTTAGTGTAATTCCACTCTAGTAGTATCTGCTGTAAAAAATTATTTATGTATTTTATAAATAGAGAGCACATTTATTTGTGCTTATAAATCTTGTTAACTTTTGTAGTTAATACATCATCCATCAGCACCAATTTGTATTAATAGAATTGAAAATTTAGTAATATGATATAATTATAGTTGCAGTGTTGGAGGAAAGACACGTTTATCCCCATTAAAATGAAAAATATTTCTATGTTACTGTATATTCCAACAACAAATCTGTTCATATTTAGGTGTTTTTAAAATGGCTAAAACAAAATATATAAATTCATTCTCTATTTATAAGGAAATATCTATAGGAATGTGCAAAAATATTAAATATATATATATAAAGTAAAGATGGAAAACATTTTTAAATAAAGTTATGAAGCATAACAAAAATTAAAAAATTTAAATGTAATGCATCATAATTATAAATAATAGAAAATTTATTTTTAATAAATTGAACTAAAAGCCAAATAGGTTGAAGTAAAGTAATTGTGAACATATTTTGCACTTTTTTTTAATCACAATAATAATATTTACTTGAGTTCAGTTTTATAGCTGTCGATTCTTAACTAAAGGAAAAATTTAAAAAACTTTCTCTAAGCACAATTTAGCTATAAATTAATTTATTATTTTTTAAATAGATCCAAATTTATGAACATTTATTATCATTATCAACAGGGTTAAAATTCTACTAAAATTGAATTTATATAATATTATGAATAAATGTTTCTGTAATACTTTTAATTTTATAACAACAAAAAATCATATGTATATTTTGAAAGTATTAAATGTATACCATCCAATCAATAAAAGCTGTCTGACACTTTTTAACACCTCAATTTTGATTCTAAAATTAGTTCAAAAAATGTTTAATAAATATACATATTATATATAACTTCTTATAAAACTAAATCTTTGTACACAATATATATATATATATATACATAATATAATATATATTGATAGATTGATAAATATATATATATTTTTATATATGAAAATGAGTTAATATATAAAGTAGTATGCTATTGCCCGTCTGCTGCGCCGTGTTCGTCTCGCCGTCCGACTTCCACTAAATTGCAATTTGGAACTTCCTGTAAATTGTCAATATAATAATTACTAATGTATACAACATTTAATAGTCTATTTAAAAGAATGATATAAACGTGTTTTATCAGGTACTCTTTTTATAGTTGATTTTTTTTTTTTAATTCGATAGTTTCTTATTGTAGATAAATAATATGTAAACATTTTCGAGCAAAAGCATGAGATTCAAGTTATAGCTTTTTAAAATGATGGGGTATTTTGTTACCAAATGTTACATGAAGACCATCATTATTTTCTGAACTTAATAGATATGTATTGTTTCTTATCGATTACAATGTCTACAAAAGTGTGCTATGATCGTTAGTAGCGGTTTTTTTATTTTTATTAAGTTTATTTTTTACTTTATTTTTAAATATAATTTAAATAATTTTGATTTTGTTTCTCTTCTTTTTCATCATTCTTTTTGTCGCTAAAGTCCATCTCAGTATTTTCTGGATCGTATGTTTACTATTTGCATTTTTTCAAAATCATATATTTTGCGATATAATCACCATAGAATTTTTTTTTTACATCGATTTTACATCGATTACCGTGGAAGAATATCCTAACATGATGCAATGTGTTTTCTATTATATTTAAATATGCCACAGTTTATCAAGTTTAAGTTGATTAGGCTACAAATACTTTAATACATAGGTTGAATATATAACAGGTGGTCACAACTAGCTTTGGTGTGCGTATACTATGCCTGAGGTCCATCTCCTCAATGTATTTAAATAGTTGTAACTCAATAAATAATTATTCTAAAGTTGACAATCTATCAAAATATTTTGTAAGATAAAGCTAAAAATTAGTTATTTTGGAATTTTGAAAAAAATTACAAATAAATATATATACAGAGTGATTTATTAAGGATAAGACACTCGTTTACTCAGTAGCTATTGAAAATTTTTAATTTTTGGTAAGGAAAATATTGTTTGATTCAAAAAACACTAAAATAATATATAGTAAAAACATGATATTTTTCATCCCTCCAAGGTTAAAAAACATTTACTTCATTTTTTTTTAATGAGAACACATATTTTGAATTTAATAAAATGTTTGAGTTCTTAATTTTATAGCAAATGGCATTTGAATTTTTAATATAACTATATTTGTTTATTAGATATAAACACTCAAAGTTTCAAATTTTTGAGTTAATATACATGTATAATACACAAGGGATTACACATACAGGTAGCTAATTGGTTTTTTATAACATCGATATTAGCAGGTACACAGCATTGTTATTATCAATGGTAGTAAGGCACTTTATTGCGAGTTTATAAATACACTAACTGACAATACAGAAAGTATATCTATTGATAGTCATAATTGATAATAAACAATCCGTGACTATGACAGCAATGTCATAAAAATCTTATTAGCTACCTGTATTTATAAACCCTCGTGTATTATATACAGAGTGTTCAGTAAGTCAGGAAACGGGTATCTATTGTTCTCATTGTTACAAACAATGAGAACAATAGAAACCCGTTTCCTGACTTACTGAACACTCTGTATGTATATTAACTCAAAAATTTGAAACTTTAATTGATTCGGTTTTTTCGAAAAGGCCATACTCCGTAAAATTTTATTTTTCAGGGAACGTCAAAAACTGTTTTTAAAGATCAAAATAAATTTAGTGAAATTTGAATAAGAGTTGAATTATTGAATTCCCTTATAAAAAACCAACTATGATGTAATATTGACTATTTATACCTATTGGATTATTTTATGAGGGAATGAACGTGTTTGAAATATGGCCTTTTCCAATGGTTTATACATTTTCAATGAATCTGACCTCGCGACTCTGATCAATTGTTTATTGTATATCATATAAAATTAAATAATTGAAGAGTGAATTTTGAATTTTGTAAGACTAATTGAAGAGTGAATGTGTCAAACGTTCTATGTGCCAAAAACATATTTGTTCAGAAAACACAAAAAACAATGGTAACATGGGCATGTCTCACACAACGAACACCACCTATGACTGCAATTTTTTACAAGTAAAAAATTTAATTGACATTTAAAACACATACAAGATTGTGGCCTTTGGCACATAAAACATAAATCAGAAATAAAATAATTTTTCACTTTTTTGGCACATAGAACGTTTGACACATTCACTCTTCAATTAGTCTTACAAAATATACTGTGCATTCTTTTTAATAATTTTATTTATGAACTTCAACATCACTTCTTTTTAGTTAATTTTTTCTTTTAATACCAATCATAGATTCAGTTTCGTCTTCGAATTCATTCATATTGAATAATTATTATTTTATATTCTTGATAATAACAATAATTATTATTGTTATTATCAACTGTTATCGACAATAAACCAGATGAAAATAGAATCTTAACAAATAAAATTGCTGATCAAGTTATTTTTGGAGAAATGGTTTTTTCGAATGCATTCGTTATTTTTAGACTATAACGAGTTGTTGGAGATATGACGGTCTTGCAGAAAATATGCATTATTATTAGATAAACATATCTATCACATAAAAGTAGTTATGAAAAAATGTGGAGAAATGGCCTTTTCGAAATGACCGATTCAATTGTTTATATCTAATAAACGAATAAAGTTATATTAAAAATTCAAATACCAGTATTTACTATTAAATTAAAAACTCAAACATTTTATTAAATTCAAAATATGTGTTTCCATTTAAAAAAACAAAGTTGACACCCTTACAAGGCATAAGGGATAAACTTAAAAAGTATTACATAGTTGATAATTCAAGAATAATGTGTAACTAAAGATAAACAAAAAAAAAAATGTTTAAATTATATTTTTATGTATATACATAATATATATATATATATCAGTGTTAAGAAGGAACTGGTTCCAAAAGGAACGGATTCCTGGAACGAGTTCTTTTTGAAGGAACGATCCTAGGAACTGCTTCCTTTTAAAATAAAGGAACGAGGAAAATGAACAAATTCTATTTTTTAAGGAACGTGAACGGAAATTACAGTTCCTAAAAATTTTTATAAACATGTTTTAGTGTAGTTTTCTTCGTATCTAGACATTAAAATAGTAAGGTATTTTTAGTTGATTTTTGACAATGGAAGTCCCCTATATACCCAGCCGAGATCGTAGGCTGTTTAAATGAATCAATTAACTATAAATAGAGTTATTATCATAGTTTTTAGATTTACTTTGTTGGATTAAAAATTTTAATAAAAAAAATTGGAATAAAGACAACTAAAAACTTTTTTGATTTTTATTTTTGAAGGAGGAATCATTTTTTTAAATATTTCTTCCTTGTTAATTTTAAAATTAGGTACTTATTATTATTATTCTTTTTACAGATAATAATTGGCTAAAAAAGTGATAACAGTTAGTGTAATTCCACTCTAGTAGTATCTGCTGTAAAAAATTATTTATGTATTTTATAAATAGAGAGCACATTTATTTGTGCTTATAAATCTTGTTAACTTTTGTAGTTAATACATCATCCATCAGCACCAATTTGTATTAATAGAATTGAAAATTTAGTAATATGATATAATTATAGTTGCAGTGTTGGAGGAAAGACACGTTTATCCCCATTAAAATGAAAAATATTTCTATGTTACTGTATATTCCAACAACAAATCTGTTCATATTTAGGTGTTTTTAAAATGGCTAAAACAAAATATATAAATTCATTCTCTATTTATAAGGAAATATCTATAGGAATGTGCAAAAATATTAAATATATATATATAAAGTAAAGATGGAAAACATTTTTAAATAAAGTTATTAAGCATAACAAAAATTAAAAAATTTAAATGTAATGCATCATAATTATAAATAATAGAAAATTTATTTTTAATAAATTGAACTAAAAGCCAAATAGNAGTATGTGTTTAGCGTTGATAATGGTAACATTGTTTCCGAAATACGTATCCGCGACTTTTCATTAATTTTTTTTGTGGCTTTGAGTTTAATATTTTTAATATTTTTTAGTTTTTTAAATTAATAATATTTTTAATATAGTTTTAATTTTACTTAATTAATTAGCCACAAGTGATCAATTTTTATTATATAATTATGGCGTTCGGGCCTTTTGATCATAATAAAGAGTTAAACAAACTGATGCAAATCATAAAGAGTATGTGTTTAGCGTTGATAATGGTAACATTGTTTCCGAAATACGTATCCGCGACTTTTCATTAATTTTTTTTGTGGCTTTGAGTTTAATATTTTTAATATTTTTTAGTTTTTTAAATTAATAATATTTTTAATATAGTTTTAATTTTACTTAATTAATTAGCCACAAGTTATCAATTTTTATTATAATAATTCATAATAAAAATAAAAACAATTTTTTAAATAACTTGGTTACATAAAAGGAACGAAGAGTGGAACGAGTTCTTATTTTGGAGGAACTGGATCTGGAATAAGTTCCTTCTTAATATAAAGAACTAGGATTTGGAACGAGTTCATCTTTTAGAAAATGAACGGGGAACGGAACGAGTTCCATTTAAAAAGGAACTTTCCCAACACTGATATATATATAGACTTAGGGAGGCAATAACGATAAAAATAAAACAGCACCGAAGGAGATAAAAATTATAACAAAAATAAAATCAAAATCGACAAAAATAAATAGGAAATAAGCTAAGCCGGCAGTATAGTTCAAGTTATTGTATAGTTGAAGTGTAGCTTCAACCTTGGACCTGTAATTATCGCAACTGAGATGAACTCCATAATAAGTTAAATATACATATAAGATATTACCGATATAATTCTAAGTAGCTAAAACATAATTTAATCATATTGACATTTTAATTATTATTCAAGTAACATATAAACGTTTTATATCTTTATTAAAATACTGCAACCATTATAATGGTCATTAATCTACTTTTATTTATACAATTTGTACAATTTATGAATTTTGATAACTCTTTTTATAATTTGATGCGAAAATTCATTAAATTTTATTTACAATTAATTACCTAAACCTTGGTTATTAATGAATTAACAAATCATCTTTTCATTTCTTCTCCGAGTATTTTTCAAAGAACGATTTTTTTAAATTATTATGGCATTTGAGAATTTTGAGAGTAATCACCGATTATTTTTTATTATTGTAAAATAGTATCATTAATTGGTTTTTCATTTTTTGAAATAAGGTATCATTGAGTCAGAATGGTATATCTAATTCTTTATCGAATAATAGTGACTTCTTCACAAATGGTAAAGACAGGTGAGTAACAAAGATGAAAAGATTTCTTTAGATTTTAAGCTTGTTATAGTTTAATGCATTGACTCAAAGTATTTGAAACATCTCATTAGTTATTTTTCTGTCTCTTAAATTGCCTCTTTTTTTTAATAATTTCGTTGATATGTGACGTAGGATTTTTAAAGTTTTATTTATTACAAAAGGTGTTTTATTTTTAGCTATTGAACTTAAAATAATCATGTGTTTTATAAAGTATTAAAGAATAGTTTTTTTCTTTTATTTGATAGATCCATACTCAATTTAAGCCAATATTGTAGTTCTGTAACTATATTTAACTATTTTTTTATTGATTTTTAATAAAGATAAATGACTATTTTTTTTATCTTTACATGAACAGCCATAAACGGTCTACTGATAAAACAATCATTATACGTTTAATTTAAAGAAATTTTGTTGAAATAACAAAACAATTTATTATGATTTTGAAAATTTATTGAAATAATACTATTTAGATGATAAAAATCATAGATTATATGAAAATAGATAGCTGATTGAGCTATCTATTTTCAATAGAGAAAAACTAAGCTTATATAGTCTGTTTTCAATTCAAAAGTATTAGTTTATTTATAGATTGATGAATAAGTTGAGTTGTTAAGCAAACAATTTTCATAAATATAGGTAAAAATATTCATTGTTTTTAATTTTTTTTATTTTACGCAAAATTTAGTTCTAATAACTCAAAAGTTTACAAAAATATGAAGATTATAAAAATTACATAATTTGAATGTATATTTATTATTATTATTATTATTTTTCTTTTCAAAACTTTGCGTGTTATAATATAATAATCTGATATTGATTATGTATTTTTCATACTGTTCAATAACGACACACCTGTTATTATTCTAGCTTTTTTAATCTTATGATATAATTTTAGTACAATCAACTGAATTATTCAAAACTTACACTGATAATGATTTTTACTGCAACACCAAAAGTATGCTCATGTAAACTTTTCAATAAAAAATAATAGTAAGGATTTAAATTGTGACAGTCATATTCTAGTCTGATAATAGCAATAAAATGTATTGGAATGAATTAAATCCCCAAAAGAAAATCATACCTTTTAAATTTGATGATTCAAGTATTAAAAGAACTAAGACTCGTGCTGTAATTAAACTAAAGACAACAATAAACAAATTTATCAATTTATTTTTTTCATCTTCGAACATTCACGGATTTAACCATTTGACACATGAAAATAGACATTTCATAGAAAAGTAAGAATAAAATTAATGTATCAAAAAATGGATATTAATAAGTTCATTACTGATTATAAAAGCCTAAAATTAATTAAATTATTAAATTTCATTTAAATAAACAAGTTGTATTTATTTAGTGACATAATTAGGACATTTTTCTGAAAGGGTCATATACTTAAAAGAATTTTTCATAAATGCCTTTCAAATGAAAAAAATTGTATTTTTAACTTGCAATTATTTATATAATAATTTATATAATTAGTATAATGGATTTATTCCGTTCGTTTCCTTCAATTACGCCCTTGTTTGTATTAATTAAGCACAATATATTATAATTGATACTCATTCAAAAAAAAAAAAAAAATTGTAAATAAAAATCAAGTTAAGAAAGTTATTTCTTGGTTCCTGAAGAAATGTTATAAATCTTACTATTTATTAAATCATCGTACATGTTTAGACTTTTGTGGGTCATCGTTATATGTTTCTGTATTTACGGTGCAAAACAAATAGGAGAATCAACATGGACTCGCTATCAAGAAAATCCAACTGTCATATCGATGGAGAGAGATTATAAAGAATGGTCTACAGCATTGCCAGCTATAACTTTGTGTCCAACAGATAACTTGGATAACCAAAAGTTCGAAGAAATTATCGAAAAAGAGTAAAAAAAAAAAAAATTATGATATATTAATTATTTGAATTAAATAATAAATATTTTATTCTTTATATATATATATATAATAGTTTTCTGTTATATGATTTTAATGTATATTATATGTATACATCATGATCACTATTAAAAAAATCACATATATAAGTGTACAATATTTTTAAATTTTTTTTAGTCTTATTTTAATTCCCTTGCTTCATATTAAATGTTTAATTATTACGAATAATTAAATTATCATAGAGATACTGATAATCTAATGTTAAGTTATTTAGAATTTTCATCACGAATATAATGAATTCTATGATTTTTTTAATATCTTAAAATATCTTTAAACGTACATGACATACATAATTAAGTATGATTATAGATATCCAGGAATTTCCGAAGATGAAAAGTCGGAGCTGCGAGAATTCTTAGTATTGTTGGCAAATGCTACTTATGGAACATTTAAAAAATTGCCTTTTTACGATAAAATAAAACCTTATAAATATTTATCGTTAGTTGAAAATCTCCAAATACACATCATGTACACTATTACAAACAGCAACATGGAGGGATATGCGCTTTTTAATTTAGTGTCAACTATATCTGAACTCGGATTTTGTCATACTTACAATGGAGAAATTGCTCCCTATAATGATTATTAGTTAGTTTCAAAACAATAAAATACTTGTGTCTAAAATCAACAGTAAAATATGTTATTTTGCAGCTATTGGATGCAGAATAATAGAACCATTTTGCCTACTAAAGGTTTCTTATCAGGAACACCATTAGATGGAGATGTTTTTACTCAAATAACCTCTATGAATTTTGGTTATATAGTAAATATTTTATATTATTTGTAACATCTTAGACTAAACATAATTTAATAATATAATTTTGGATTGCTCATTTACTTGAAAATTAGCGAAAATTTACTAAAGCTACTTTAATAAAATAAGTAGAAAATGTTATATTTAAATGGATGTAAAAATTATGATAATATTATTTTAATAAAAAACAAAAAATTTTTTTGCTAAAAAATTAAGATTTGCTCCAGTTTTCAGTGAAAACAAGAATAGTCAGTTGATATTAATAAATGTTATATATAATCCAAAAGATACATTCTAATAGGTTGATAAAATTATTGTTTTTTAACTCGCTGTTTAATTTCCAGTATTATCACGCAATTCCAACGTGTATTATGAATTATTATTTTAGGTATGGGAATTCAAGAAATTGTATTATTTTTGATGATCATGTTTTTTTTGTTAAAAATTCTTCTAGGAATGCTATTTTCACTAAAAAATTGCTTCATAGCATGAATTGCAAGATTATTCGATCCCCTGTTGCAATTTATTAATATTTTATCTGTAGCAATTTGTTCACATTTATGACACATACAGAATTCATGTTGAGGAAAAATCTTTTCATCAGTAAAAAAATAATTTACAGGGTTTCTTACATTCACCATATGAAGCTCCTGATATTGCTAATCGAATATATTCTTCACCAGAAAGTTATTACAAAACTTTGGATGTATCCGCTTTAAGCATATACAGCACTAGCGATATAATATCTCTCAAACCCAAACAGAGAGGTTGTAGGTATACATATGAAAGCGAATTAAAAACAAGTCCCATTTACACGTACAATTTATGTCGCAATGAATGTCGGATGGAACAAGCCAAGCGACTTTGCGGATGTGTACCATTTTTTTACAGACCAGACCGTAAGTTAAACTATTTTTGCAGTTGAACTTCTTATTGTTTATTAAAAATATTATTCTTAAGCTTTGAGATAAAAACAAGCTACAGCATTAGAGATAAGTTGTAAAACACATAGAATACAATCCTGTTCTATAACTTATTTAATCGTAATAGTTTGACTGCCTAAACGTCTTGCTTTTTTTATTGGGATAACACAAAGGCATGATAAATGTTTTATTTTTTTATTCAAATATTCTTAAGATCTACACTTATTTCTTAATAGGTTTTAATGCATTTATATAGCTAGAATGAATTTTGCCTTAAAGATAGATATTTAAGCTTAGGGCGTTAAATTATGAGTCTCATAAGCTTGTGACACATAAGTCTCCTTACCTTTTACCTACCTCAGTTTTATGCTTCTTGAATATTGAAATATTCACAATATTATAGTATACTTATTGTTATATTCAGTAATGGTATTCAGTTTTTGAAATGCGGGATCAAATATCATTTTTTTTAAGTACTAAATAAATTATCATAAAACATTTTTACATATAAAAATACACATTTAAAATGCTAATATATTATTTATTCATTTATAAAAATTTCAATTATTTCCAGATAGATCCTGTTAACTTTAACGTATTTAAAAATTCGTATAAAAATTTATATCAAATTAAAAAACTTAAATATGTCTTAAATGATATCTGCCATTAAAAACTAGATTTTTAATTAATTTGTTTTAATATGGAAATAAATCATTTTTTTACTCGTAGCAAGCTTTAAGATCTGTGATGTTAAAGGAATGCATTGTTTAGATGAATATGAAGGTAATTTTAAGCCTAGTTTTAGTTTTAAGATTATATTTAAAGTAATATTATTGTTTTTAAGATTACCTTGTAAAACTCAGAAATACATCCGATGATAACAAGAAAGTTTTTTGTGGATGTCTTCCCCCGTGTGATGATGTGAGTTATATTGTAGAAGGAGAAAATACTATTCAATGGTAAATTTATACAAAAATTATTTCATATACTTAGTATAAAATGAACCTAACATCATTATTAAAACATTGTTTAGTAAATTTAAAACTGATAATCATTTAAAAACAAAATAATTTTTTAAAGCGCCATTTAAATAATATCCTATAAAAATGTATTTAAATGAAGCATTTTTTTTTGAAAATATAATTTAACTTTTTTTTCAGCTCAACCTTTCGAATATTATCATCGCTTAAAAATTACATTCAAAAATTATTTAAATAAATTTCTAAAGATTGGGTTTTCATTGATTTAGGTACATCAGGTATAATTTATGTTTATTTCCATTATGTTTTATTCTTGTCTAGGTTTCTTGGAACTAATTTAAAATGGGGCTTAATCAAATTTCCGAAAATGCGTTTGAAAAGAAATTTGCTGTTTGGGTTTACAGACGTTTTAGGTAATTTTTGTTAGAAAATTATTATTATTTTAAATTACAATTTATTAATTTTTTCAGTATCAATTGGTGGTGCAGCTGGGCTGTTTTTTGGCTGTTCGGTATTGAGTTTTTTAGAGATTATATACTTTTTAACACTACAACTATTTTGTATAGCTTTTACAAAGAGAGAAAATATTTAAATACGATTTCCATTATTACTGTTGTAGAATAATTTTATTAGTAATTATATTTAGTTTAATTAATATGTAAATAGCATTTATAAATATTATAAAAAAAACTTCTAAAAATATTTTATAGCTTTTTCTTACAAGTCAAATAAAATATATTTCATTTTATTTACAAGACATAAATGTATTAAAATCTGTGAAACTCCAAAAGTAAAAAAGGAGAAGGACATAAGAAAAATTATTAATGAAAAAAATAATAAATGAACTTTTCTATCATACAATACTTAATTTTTTATACATTCTATACAATAATTTTTATTAGATACATGAAATAATAAAAAAATTATCTAATAATATAACTCTAAAATATTTAGGTGTATTCTTAAGGTACCTTTAAATACCATGATATAAGTATACTTGCATAAAATTTAAACAAAATTGACATGCGCAAACCAAAATAATATCCTATTAAAATTATGGACGTGGACTTCAAAATAATAAAGCTCATAACTCGGTTAAAAATATAATGAAATTTTCGGGGTATCTTTAGAACGTTTCTGGGCAAGTCTGGTAAAAATTAAAATTAAAAACGCTGGCGGCAATGAGCATTTTTGATAAAATTTTTAAACGCTCACGGTGTTCTAAAATAAATTTTCTCATCTACGCGAATAATTTTTCTAGAATAACGTCGTTGAGCTCTTTCATTTAAAAAAAAAAAATTTGAAAATCATACGTCATTAAGTAATTTTTCCAGCATCGGCTAATTTTTTAATGTTTTATAATATAATAAGACACTAAATAATTTTTTATGGGTTTCTTTTATTTACATTTTTTTTCAACTTATTAATCATGAAGTATTTTTTATGTTCATCCCGATGTGTTATACGGGTGGCAACTTTAAATTTTTAATGGTAATGTGTATAATAAATTACGTTATTTATTAAAAAAATATCTAATTGAAATAATGAGAATTCTAACTGGGATAGAACCCCCAATGATAAAATAAATATATAGCAACGATATATTTTGGAGAGTGCAGTAGAAAACGTCTTATGTAAATATTTATCTCCTGCCAAGACGAAACTCTCAGAACGTCCTTAAAAAATATAATAACAAATCAATAACAACTTTTTGATAAATATTTTGAATATTATAAACAATTTAATATAATGGTNCGGAACATTTTCAAAAGTTAATTTTTTGTGAAAAAGTTATCACTTTAAAACCCCCCCTTGTGGGCAAGTTAAGTGTTAAATTTATGAAAAAAATATACCAAATAAAAGGTAATGATATTATGCATCTATATAAAAAATTATATTGATATGTTCATTTTTGAAAAAGTTATGGCACTTTTAAGTAAAAAAAATTGAAAAAATTTCGAAAATTAATGATTTTTAAATTTGTAATTTTTTTGGAGGTTTCCCCCATTTACGGGGAACGGGGGAATTTTTTTCAATTTTTAAGGGTAATGTCTTTGACTAAATACGATTTGTGATCTTTTGACGTATCGTTGAAAGAAATCCGTTCGGTGAGAGCTGAGAAAAAGTGGTAACAGACACACAAAAAAAAAATAAATAAACACATCTTAGTAAAACCAATAACTTCTCAGCTTCGCATCGAAGCTAAAAGCTCATAACTCGGTTAAAAATTCAATGAAATTTTCGGGGTATCTTTAGAATGTTTCTGGGCAAGTCTGGTAAAAATTAAAATAAAAAAAATGCTGGCGGCAATGAGCGTTTTTGATAAAATTTTAAACGCTCACAGTGTTCTAAAAAAATTTTTCTCATCTTCGCGAATAATTTTTCTAGAATAACGTCATTGAGCTCTTTCATTTGAAATAAAAATTTTGAAAATCATACGTCGTTAAGTAATTTTTCCAGCATCGGCTAATTTTTCAATGTTCTATAATATAATAAGACACTAAAAAATTTTTTATGGGTTTCTTTTATTTACATTTTTTTTCAACTTATCAATCATGAAGTGTTTTTCATGTTCATCCCGATGTTTTATACGGGTATCAACTTTAAATTTTTAATAGGAATGTCTATAATAAATAACGTTATTTATTAAAAAAATATCTAATTGAAATAATGAGAATTCTAACTGGGATAGAACTCCCAATAATAAAATAAATATATAGCAACGATATATTTTGAGTGCAGTAGAAAAACGCCTTATGTAAATATTTATCTCCTGCCAAGACGAAACTCTCAGAACATCCTTAAAAAATATAATAACTAATCAATAACAACTTTTTGATAAATATTTTGAATATTATAAACAATTTAATATAATGGTTAGAGGTGAAAGTAATATTTTATTATCTTATAATATTAATATATAACATGATTTAATAAAAAATTCTTACTTGTGGCTAATATTATTTAAAATTAAAAGTATATTTAAAATAACAATTTAAAACTAAAAAATATTAAATTCATAAAGCCACAAAAAATACTATAGAAAATTTAGGTAATCTCAAATTCTAGGATAGGCATTTAAGATGATGTTTGTATTTAATTAATTAAGTACTATTTGACTATGAATGTGAAGTAATTTTTATTTTAACCTTATAATTGTTTTTTAAAAATATCTGCTGATTGTATTAAAACTTGAATATTGTTTGAATTTCAAAAAATTGTGCAAACTTATTATTTTTCCCGTTCACAAAAAATGTAAAAATAAAGCATGCTCTAAACAAACATTTGTATCATTACATACAATTCAGAAAATGTATTTAGGTTAACATTATAATTTCGATATGAAGCTAAAACGATAATTAATACCTTTTTTTAATTTTAAACGAATTGGGAAAAAATGGTAACAGTAAAATTTTGTCTAGTATTTAAATATAAGATATGATTATTAAAATTATCGACTAAATTAATTAAAAAAGCATTAGCATAAAAATTACTAAATTTTGAGTAAAAATTTGTTGAAATTAAGTAAAAGGATTTCTTTTACTCAATAAAAATGAATTATGGAAATAATGAAAATTATGGCATAATTTTATAATAACAAAGGGAAATGTAGTATGTGTAGTATAGTTATGTAGTTTATATATTTTGTTTATGATTTTTAAACATTTAATAATAATTTATTATTTCATTATTGAACTTAATCCTATATATTTGTTCTCCTGTTATACTTGCTGGATAGGATTTCAGTAAAGTGCTTTCATTTTATTTTTAAATACTAGACTTTGATGTATGAGTGTGTTTATGGTGTTGTAAATTATACGATAATGTTTAACTTTGATGTTAGATACTTGTGTTATTACTAAAATAGTTTTAATCAATTTCAAAACGTTATTTATGATTGGCCGAACACGTATTTTTTTATATATAATTGATGATGATGATTTTTTTTCTTTTTTGTTTCGTTTTGTTTTAAATCTAGCCCATTGTGATCTAAACTAAAAATAAGGCTATTCATGCATTTTCCAAAGAAACTACTGTTATGGCGCTTATTTGATATTGGGGAAGAAACAGGAGATATTTTTGTTATAGAATAGGTGCAACGTAGGTTTTTCATTGTAAGTCAATCGTAAACCGGACGTCTTAAGATAAGTCCGACGCACCTAAAGTTTTATTCGGATGTGAAAAAAAATGTGAATTATAGAAAAAATAAAATACCGTTCGCTACCGACCAACGCTAATTACCTTATTTATGCATATATTTTATATTAAATAAATAAATAATTAATATAATAAAAATAT